TGTGTATTATAAAATAAATGTTTCTTTACAGACATGCTACAGTTTGCCTGACAATGAAGCAGATGTGGTAACTGTGGTGGTGGCAGCAGGTATGCACTGATTGTGTGTGCACAAGTGTATATCTGCAAGTGTTTAAGTGTTGGGCTATGAAACATTTTATAACTCAGTCCATTCGGTACCTTGTGCCACACTGCTGAATGTCTAGTTGGTAGATCAGAGGTCATTCAAAGTAATATAAGTATAAGTATAAGAAAAAGTACAGAATGAAACCTCTCATTTAGGGTAACCATGCATGGTGCCTTCACCATGCACAGTTTCTACACTAAGTCTTCAGTGACCTTCCAACTTCCCACAGTGACCTAACTAACTTCGTGGCCCAGTCAGCCACACTGAATATTACTGTAAATATGTCTGCTTCAAGAGAAAAATTGTATCACTAGGCCTCACAATCCCTGGATATGAAAATGATCTGCTTCTACTCATACTTCTACTTCACACCAACAGGGTGGTTACAATAGTTGTGTGCAGGTTTGAAGTGGCATTAACAACTTAAGTGGTCAGAAATAGAAGAAGAAGGATGTAGGCTCACTATAGAACAATTTCCATCTAATTTTATGGAGACTATAAACAGACGTTGCAGCAGCAAGCCACAAATGGAGACATGATGTGATTGACTGAAGCAGATAAACGAATACGACTTTGCTGAAGAGTGTCTAAATTGCTTCCTGGTCAGGAGTCCACTTCTGCTTCGAAGTTTCAGGCCTCCATGTCCCAGAATAGACTTGTCAGCAACGACTGATGTTAGTTGGCAAGTGGCCCATTGTAAAGGTCTATACCTCGGAGGTCTATTGGTCCTGCACACGTGCCATTCACTCTGATATCACATCCAAGCCACTTAAGCCACTTTCAGTGAAAGCAAAGGTCAGCAGGGCCTTTATTACCCTCAAATGTATGTGCATACTTTACAAGAAAGACAGATGTGTTAAAAATAAGGAGCAATGGTTTAATCATGTTTGAATGACATATGTGAGCTAGTTCCTAATATTAAGTGGATAAAACAAACAGATATCACCTTTTCAAATCAAATAAGGAGGATGCACCTTACTCTACCACATCTCATAAGTTGAGCTGCCTTTTTATCTACACAATAAGCTTAGTTTTATTTGAAGAGCTGGTCTTTTGGCACGGTAGAGTTAGAAGAGTGTCCCTCCCATTGGGAACAGCTGTGCCTCTTGACAGAGCTGACATATGAGCACAACACCTCCGACCTCTGCTAAAGTTAGAGATTATGCTTTGTAAGCATGTTGGGATTGTCACCAGTGTATTTATACAAGAACCTATTTTAGGTGTTTTTCCAGATTCTTAAGTAACTCATCGATTTAACTGGGAAAAATGCATTGTAAATCATAATCACTTATTATGCATTAACTGGTGTTTGTTCTGTTAGTTTGTCAGAAAATAATTATAAGTAGTAAAATAAGTTAGCTGGGCGGCACGGCGGTGCTGTGGTTCGCATTACACTATGAAGGTTCTGGTTTCAAACCTGCCAGTTGACTGGGGCCTTTTCGTGTGGAGTTGGCATGCTCTCCCCCTGCATGTGTGGGTTTCCTCCAGGTCCTCAGTCTTCCTCCCACAGTCCAAAGACTTCAGGCTAGACTGGAGACTAGGTCCATAGGTGTGAATGTGAATGGTGTCTCTATGTGTCAGCCCTGCAATAGACAGTTCAGGGTGTACCCTGGTACTCTCATATATTGTGTGACTTGTGATTTGTGGCTATGTAATGTAGGATCTTGACTTGCTGACTTGACTATTTTAACATGCTGACTGACTGCACATGAGGCCTTGGTGCTCAAACAGGCAGATAAATCTGCCCCTGAATTTCGAAAAGAACAAAGTTGCAAGACTTAACCTCTGACACTGACCGGCCCCTCGCTATAGTCAAGGTATCACTACGATGACTCAGTGGGGTTAATGATTGATGACTTGAAGGGAGCTGTGTGTCCCATGCACCATCACGGTGACCACAGATAGTGTGAGGGGTGGCTAGAAGATATAAGCTCTACATACTGCAAACTGTACCACCAAACACACACTCAGAAGTTTGTTAAACCACAAACTGGCTGCAGACAAAGAAGCACAGTTTTAGGAGCTAGTGGGCAGAAAGTGAGGCTGAGAGGTATCTTTGGCATTACTCACACTGCTGCAAAAATAATCAACTGTTCTTGAATAACTGAATAAATGGCAAATTACAGTAGAAAGAGGGAATTATTTTGCACACTGAGGGGCAAGAGCAATAGACAATTAAAAAAAGTTCTGAAATCAATCAAGATACTATGGTAACTGCTCCTGTTGCTTTGCCAATTTAAACATTCCCACCTCATAAATACATTTGGAGTTACACTGCAAAAGGTTTGTTAAAAGTAACCATGGAGTAAGAAAACCTTTGTTTTTTAAAACAAAGTAAAACTTTGCGTAAAAGTAAAAGAAAAGGTTCAGCA